GCCCACTGCCCCGGAAAGGCCTACCCAGAGGTGTGTGGGAGGGACCTATCAGGGATCGCCTCTATGGGGAGTTTGACAATAAACTTTGAATATTTTAAATATTCTTAATATTTAAATATTTATAACATTGTTCACCTCTATAATGAATATAGTATCTAATATAATTGAGTTACTAGTAAACAACCAGCTAAAGATGTAATGCGAACAGGCAGTTTAATCAAAACACAAAATTGGGGCCCAGAGCTTTCTAGGCTTCGATTTCTCCAGATTTAAATAGCAAGACCTGAGGTGTCTTAGTGGCCAAAATTATAAGGAATAGGTACCTCATTCCCATACCGGGAGTCGAACCCGGGCCGCCTGGGTGAAAACCAGGAATCCTAACCGCTAGACCATATGGGAACCACTGGGGGAGCTCTTTCCTCAATATACTACATCAGTTAATTCAGCACCTATGCCTGACATTGCACACCACAGCTAGTTTCTCCTTCGTAGAAATTCGGCCTGCTTGTGGCTCTGCGAGCCACAGCTTCAAAGACCCCTTTCTCCTGACTGGGCCTGGGTTTGAACGTCCAGGCCTCTCCTGGTTGGCTTGCAGTCTCCTAGAACTGGTGCCCTGCCGATGGCTCAGCTTTGGTTGCCACCACTACGGGTATTTGCACACCTGCTGGGAGCACTGCCATACCTGAAACTTAAAACGATAAATGAAGGGAGGTTATTGCTTGACCTTCGACATCACAGACATCTAAAATCAACATAAAGGACCCACACCCACTACCGGAGTTCCTCATGAATTCTTTTCTGTGAAAAACAAAAGTGGAATGTGTTATCTTTTACTTATTTTCCCTTCTAAATCTCACTGGTTAGCTCTTTGTCAATAGCAGGATTTTTTTTTCATACCATGCTTTTTATTTTTTATTTATTTATTATAGTGACATTGGTTAACAAAATCCAGTATCAACAATGTCATATATATATATAATATATATGACATAGATTTCTGTCACCACATATTTGACCTCTGGTAACCTAACTTCTGGTAATCACTAGTCTATTGTCCCTGCCCATGAGTTTCTCTCATGTTCGTTGCTTTTAGGTTTATATCCCACATATAAGTGCTATCATGTGGTTTTCAACTTTTTCTGTCTGGCTTATTTTGCTTAGCATGATTATCTCAAGGTCCATCCATTTGTCACAAATGGCAGTATTTCATCTCTTCTTATGGCTGAATAATATTCCATTATATATATGTACCACTGCTTCTTTAGCCAATCATTGATCGTAGGACACTTCCGTTGCTTCCACGTCCTGGCCCCCGTGAATAAGGCTGCTATGAACATTGGTGTGCAAATATCTTTTCGGATGAGTTTTCCAGTCTTTGGGGTAAAATATCCAGTAGAGGGTTGCTGGAACATATGATAGATCAAGTCTTAGTTTTTTGAGGAACCTCCATATTGTTTTCCATAGTGGCTGTACCAATTTGCAGTCCTACCAGCAGCAGCAGGATTTTGTTCTGAAATTCAACCTTCATGGGTGGGGAAGGATGTCTTTTTCTTGTCATGGGTTTTCTATTTGAATGCTTCCTTGAGGCTTTTCACTGACAACTTGAGCTCAATATGGCCATAAAACAAAAATGATTCCCCCCAATCCAACAGCAAATCTGTCCTACTGTGATTACAGAATATGTTAAGGCTCAAGAATTAAAAGTCTGGTACCTGTGTAAATTCAATGAAATAGAATATAGTATGGGTATACACTGGGATTAAATGAAAGAAAAAGCTGGCATCTCAAATCAGTGGAAATGGTAAATTAATCAACAAAACATGTGTGGACCTATGGTAGAAAAGAGAAAGTTGGATGTTGGACTCACCACACATCAAATGAAACAAGTTCTTGAGAAAAACTGAATTCCCTTATCATGGCATCAATTACAACCCCAAATCCAGAAACCATTAAACAGCTAATAAATTCAACTTTATTAAGAAAACTGACTATAAAAATATAAGAGTTGGGTGATGGTTACTATGGCTTTCACTTTAATTATTATGCTATTCAATTGATCTGTATTGTTCTGTAATGTAACATGTTTTATTTTACAATAACAAGTTCTTAAAAAACACCATAAGCAAAGTTAAAAGACAAACTGGGGGAAAAAATTTACAACACTCATATTATGAACAAAGGACCAATATTCCCCAAGCATAAAAATTAGCTCCTAGAAATTGCTAAAAATAACAACCCAATAGGAAAATGAAGCAAGGACACAGAATTTCCAGAACAAGAAATATAATTGGCCCTTCAACAAATTATAAGAGGTTCAGCCTCACTCCTGGAAAGATAAAGGCAGGTTTTTAAAACCCTGAAAGGTCTCTTCTTACTGTTTATTTGAAAATTTACATATCCCTTTTACTTTCTGGCCTAAGATCTGCCAAGGGCTGCCCATCTACACAGGTGTTTGTGTCTTTTATTGACATGGAATCCTCTTCTGATCTGTAAGCCATGTATAGTTTTTTTCCCTCCATCGAAATCAGTTTTGATGATCTAGTGAAACTGAAGCACCTACTTCTTGTCCTTTCCAACACTAGCTGTCCAGTATTTCACCTTTAATGATTTATGCATGAGGTTGTTTCAGTTGTTCACTAGTATGAACTAACCTAACAACTTTGTACCGATCCCACATGAGTGTGTCCTAGGAGAATACAGGACTAGAAGTGGTTTCACAGTAGGGATTTTCAACATTACTGTTTGCCTCTTCAAACTTTCACACCTAACAAGGTTGGAAACATACAGACCAGAGAAATTTTAAGGTGTGTGGGGTGGGGGTGGGGAGTGGGGGGCAATCTGTGAAAGAAGAAGGCTTGAGATAAGGCGGCCACATTGAAGAACAGCTGTGCTCATGGCCTGTCTCTGTGGCCACCGGTTAGGTGGCCCCAAGCTCAAGCTGCTTGAGTTTCTCCTGGAGCCCCCGGAGCTGGTTTTGACCCCAGTTGATGCGGATCTGAAGGCTGGCCATGTCTGCCGCGAGCTGCAGGCCTAAAGGAAAGGGAGAGATTTGTTACTATGGTATCTGTGGTGTGACACATGACTCAGGGGACTCTGGACATCCCCAGGGACTGGAAAAGCTCCAGACCTCTCTGGAATAGTGCCTCTGCACTATTCCTAAAACATTCTGGGTACAGCCTTGCATTAGCCACTTCAGAATCTCACTGGACCCACACTGACACCTCTTTCAGGTCTTTGCTAAAAAGTCACCTTCTCCAAAGACTTCCTTGACCCCCTCCTATCACCCACCAAGAACTAAAAATCCAGATCATAATACCACCTCATGTCCTTATTTTCTTTCTTCTTTCTTCCATCATCACAGCCCCTCACTGCTCTCACCTTCACTCTTTGCACCTGTTTTCTCTACCTCCAACAGTGGTCTACCTGGATCTACTTCAAGGTGGCTTTTGCCTGATGTCTTTGCTGGAATGGCTGTTGTCAAGTCCTCTGGGCCCTCCATGCTGCCCAGTCCATCGGCCAGTCCTGTCTTTAGCCTACTTGCCCAGCAACAGAGTTGGCTACACATCTGATCACCTCTGTCCAAGAAACACTTTCTCCTCTTGGCTTCTGGGACACCTCGCTCTCTGGGTGTTTCTTCTAACTCACTGCCGCTTCTCAGTCTGCTCTAATGATTTCTCCCCTTCTACTCCCTCACTTCCTGTTCCTACTCCCAGGCTCTCTGTTGATCTTACTCCATGTTAGCTTTAATGCTGCATCCGTGTCAGCAACCTGGGAATTTAAACATCAGTGTTATGCAGGGGGCTCCTGAATCACTCTCTTCAGCTCAGGCTTCTCCCAGGTTCCAGGTGCATGTGCCTAACTGCTCACTCAGAATCTCTCCCACACAGCACTAGGAAGATACCCACGCCCAACTCCTGATGTCCCCTAAGCCACTACTCTGCCTCTCTCCCACACCAGGTGAGGACAGTTCCATCTTCCCAGGCATTCTAGATGGACACTGGGTTCAACCTTCACTTCTCTCCTTCCTTTATTCCCGAATTGATCTGTCAGCAAACCCTTGGGGTTTCTATTCTCAAAACATGCAGGTTCCCACCACTTACCCCCTCCTCTGCCTCCTCTACGTCCTCCACCTGCATCTCAAGCCTGGCTGTTCCCTGGCACTGCTTCATCCATCTGTTCTTGTCTTTTCCCACTAGCATCCACAAAACTCCTGTCACTCAGGGAATCCACCCCATCACTCCCAAAGTCTTCATCAGGGCCTACAGAGCCCTCAAATAATCTGAGCCTGGCCCCCTCTGACCTCAGCTCCTGGTACTTGTTGTACCAACTCCACTCTAGCCCACTGGCCTTTTCTCTGCCATGCCAGATGCAGTGTTGCCTCATGACTTTCACCTGGCTGGTCTCTCAGCCTAAAACACTGTTCCTCCAGATTACCCACAAAGCTCTCTCCTTCATTTCTTCAAAGAGGCCTTTCCAGGCCACCCTTCATAAAATAGCTCCCTCAGCCCACTCCCGTCCCACTCCATTCGTCATACCCTATCTTAATTTTTCATAACAATTCTCATTACTTATTTATTTGCAGGTTGTTTTTCTCACCTCAAGAGTATAATCTTCTATGAGAGATGTTTGTCCCTTTTGTTTCCTGCTGTATCCCTAGTACCTATCATGAGCCTGGAACACTGCCAACATCCAATAAACACTTATAGAAAAAACAGCAGGTAAGCAACAAAAGTCTGCCGTGGAGAAAACCTGCAAAACCCTATGAAGACTAACCCCAGATGTGGCATTAGTGTTCAAGTGCTCCGTGTAGATGGAGGGTTCGAGTCTGGCTCAGGGCCACATGGTCAACTGGCAGAGTCCACTCACCTTCCCGGAAGCTGGCTTGGGCCTGCCGCAGACTGTGAGGCACCAGGATTCCAAACCAGTTCAGAGGGTCCTGAAGGGCTGGGGAGGGATCTGGCTCTGGAGTCCTGGTGGGGCCCTTGCGCCTGCGCAGAGCTGGAGAAAGAAAGGCTAAAGATTAGGGTCTTATAACCTGGCCCTTGTCTTCCAAGTGACACTGCTGAACTTAATCTGAGCTCATGATTTCGGAAAATACTAATGGTTGGGAAATCCCCCCAACCTTTTATATTCCATAAAACAGCAAACCACAAAGAACTACTTGTGATTCAGATGAAGGTCTCTGTCCACAATTTCTCATGACTCTCATAAAACCAACAGATGACCCCCCATGTTTACCTGTGACAAAGCCAGTGACCTTTCCCATTTTGCCTTGAACATGCTGAAAGGCCAGAGAGACTCTCCAACTCCCCTTTCTTTATCATGAATGATTAGCTGAGATTAAGTTTGTCCTCCTGAAATTCGCTAGACATAGAAATAAAAATTTTCTGTCCAACTGAGACTTCCCCTGATTCCAAAACAACCTCAACTGTAAAGAACTTCACCTATAACTTGTCTATTTTTTCCTATAAAAATCTAAGGCAAAACTGCTCTCTGAGACATTCTGATCTTCAGATCTGGAGCTCCCTATCGCAACAACCTGAATAAAATCATCTCCTCAATTGTCCTGTGTATTTCGTTTTTGACTTCGGGAGGGGGCCCCTAACGGGAAAGAGGAGAATGGAAGGAGGCTCACCTGCATCGCGGGGCCCCACCTCCTCTGGAGTCTGGGCGCTGGCTCTCACCACCCAAAATTTCTGGAGTCCGTTTTGCGCCTCGCTAAAGAACGAGAAGAGAAAATGGACCTTTGACAGCCCCGGCCTGGGCACTGCCGCCCACTCGTTCCAGCATGCAAGGCTCCTCACCTGGTGCTGACGCAGACCTGGGGCTCCATGCGGGAGGAATACTGTAGGGGCCCTACTGACTTGGCACCCATGGAGTAGCGAGCTTTGGAAAGCGAGAACCAGCCCTGCGGAGAGAGAAGAGGGGTGAAACCCGGTTTACATCGGCGTGCCTGCCCGCCCGCCCGCTCGTTGGCCTAGGCTTCCACCTCCTCCACCCGGGCGTTCAACGCCGTCCGCTTCGCCTCCAGCTCCTCCAGGTCACGGAGCAGCTGCAGGAGCAGCGAGTCCAGCTCAGCCCGTAGGTCCGGTACAGCCATGGGCCCACCACACTCGGGTCTGCAGCCTGCCTCCTTCCAGGTCGCCCAAGCACCGCCCACTGTGCCGGTATTATAGCCAATAGACGCGCGAGATCCGCTCTCAAGGGGCGCTCCCAGCTATGGGCCCAGATGCCCACTTCGTGGAAGCTGTTGAGTCACAGTTTTTAAAAGCAAGTGTCCTCAAAACAGCATCGTTTCGGAACTGATTAGCCGCTTTCTCCGTTTAGCAGACGAAGCGGATCAATCAACCGGACACTCGGAGAGAGCTATGGGTGGTTCTGAGTCGCCTCTGGAAGCGGCCGCATTTTAAAAGTAGGGCTATCGCTATGGCGATGTAAGGAGGAGTAACAACCACTTTAAAGAAGAGGCTTTAGATTTAATTCTAGAAGAAGCCGATAGCCGACCTTATGGTCAACTGTTGTGCTTCTTTTACAGTTGTTGCACTATTTCGAGCCACCAATCGCTCCTTTAGCAGTTTATCATCTTAAAACTGGGCATCCTGCATAGCGGCGATAAGAGGTGAAACGTCAGGCCTACATTATTAACGGCTGCCCTAAGTCACGTGAAAACTTCTTTATAGTCCCTCCACCTATTGGTTGCTCCAGTGAGCATGCGCTTCCGGACTGGCCAATCGCCTTGAGACTGCTAGCCACTGTTTGCCATCTTAACATTGGGCATTCTTGACTGCAGCAGCATTTGGTGAAGCCTCTAACTGCATTCTTGGTTGAGGGCGGAAGCGAGAACTACGTTGCGCAGGAGGTGCCTACAGATTGTCCTGGACCCACGTGGAAGTGGTGCTCAGCATGGTGGGGATGTTTGCGGAGTTCGTGGAGGGCTGGGGATGTGGCCCCTAGCCTCGGGGCGGGTGGTCCCCAGGGGTCCCGGCATGCAGGCCGAAAGAAGGGCTGACCGGACTCTCTGTTCCCCAGCTGCGCCGTGAGGCCCGCCTTCGCCGGGAGTACCTGTACCGCAAGGCCCGTGAGGAGGCACAGCGCTCCGCCCACGAGAGGAAGGAGAAGGTGCGGCGCGCCCTCGAAGGTACAGTCCCCGCCGCCCCGCGGCTTCAGGCCAGTCTTTAGGAAGACTGGGGGTTTGCATTTTAAAACCCCGTGGAAAGAAAGACCAAATGCTATAAAGCGCGTTTAACTAGCGTTCCTTTGTGGTAGTGTGGCAGGGAATAAATTTTCAAGTATTTATTGACCATTTTCCTTGCCCGTTGGGCCTTCTTGTTGGCTTGCCAATGTCCCTTCATACGGTGGTATGCATTATTTGTCGTTTATGCTGCAGTATCCAGATTTTACAGCTTGCCTATTAATTTTGTTTACAGTGTGTCTATCCTCAAATTTAAAATTTCACCATGGTCCTATAGATGCCCCGCCCCGTGGTTTTTCATTTTGCTACCTGCTTCGATGCAAGGTAACAAGCATATCTTAAACTGTTGAACCATGTAGAACTCAATTGTATTTGCGTTGTAAATTAGGAATCCAAATTTCCAGTGTTTTCCCCACTTTCTAGTTGCCATACTAATGAAGGGTCTGTCACACATGTCTGAAATGCCGTATTTATTTTTCCCTATTGTGTTCTCGTGTTGGTGAATCTTTGATATCTGATGGTACATAAACTCAGTATCTCTATTTTAAATTCATTTCGATGTACCTAGGCTATGAATATAAAAAGTGTGTGATTCTGTATATATGTTTACATTAATCATAATGTTAAACACTTGTGACCTATCTGTCTACCTTAAGAAATGAAAATGATTAATATATTGAAATTCAGGCATATTTCCCATAACTTAGATAACCATAATATTAAATATTGTCTAAGAATAAAATGTTCTTGCTTTTTTTTGTGCTTATATTATACTTGTTTGTACCCCTAGATCATATTGGTTGATTTTTAGTTTAAAGGTAGCGTTAGGTTGTATGTATTCTTTTGCAGCTTTATGTTTTTGTTTAGCATTGTTTCCAACGTCTGTTGAGTGTAGTGGGGGTTTCCTTCAGGCGAATATTTTCCATGGGCAGGAGTTCCTCCAGGGCACACTGGAGAGAAGTGCTGGGTCAGGGGGCTTGTTCATATTCAATTCTATACTCCAAAGTGGACATGCCCAAACCCAGCCCCTCTGCTGCGTAGAACTTTAGTTCACAGAGGAAACTTTTGACTGAGAGCATCATGATTAGCAGTTTTGTTCTCAGAGGGTTTCAGGATCTCTGGTCCACCTTCATACAGAAAGTGTAGTCTGTATTCTTTAAAATTTTAATTTTTTAATTTTTTTCTAACAACAAAAGCAATACATACATATGATTAAATATTTTAGAAAGCCTTGAAGCCATGAAACTCAGGAACCATCAAAAATGAAGTATCCTATAGTCTTCGTTAACAGGTTAGCATGTAAACTAAAATAGTTTTGTATCCCCACCCCCACCCCCAATAATCATGTATCATCTCTGCTTAGAAAGAAGGTATTTTTCCCCTCAAGTTTGTGCAGGGTTGTAAGCCACAGTGTTGTATTAACTGAGTGTTCCATGCACGTGTCTCACTCTCCCGTTTTCCCCTTGCAGAGAACCGCCTGATTCCCACTGAGTTACGCAGGGAGGCTCTGGCCTTACAAGAGTCCCTGGAGTTTGATGATGCCGGCGGTGAAGGTGACTTTCCCTGACACTGTGGGCCAACTTCTCTTCCTGTACTCTAATCCACTGGCCTCCATGTCCTTCCTCAGACACCTTGAGGAAAGCTCTGCGACTCCTGCTCCTAGAACTGTCCCCCAGGAGTCCTTGTGGCTCTACACCAATGACAACTCAGAGAAGCTCTCCCTGAGTGCTCCCAGTTCCATTTAGAAACACATACAATATTACCCAACTTACTCTCTGCTTTGCTTTATCTGTTAATTGTCCCTGTCACTGGAACGTAAGTTCTGCCAGGGCAGGACACTGTTCATTTTGTTCACTGCCATTTCCCCATTTCCCAGCACTTCATTGGCACCCAAATGTTTTACTCATTGCATTATGCAACAAATATGAAAGGAATCACAAATGTTATAAGTATTCGTTATGAGAGATAAGAGTCTGTTACTTTGGTCTTAATAGAAGCTGGACTTAGGCTAACACAATAGCCACTAGCCCCACTTGATTCATACAACTTAAATGACTGAAATTAAATCAAATTTGAATATTCAGTTTCTCAGTCACACTTGTTCTTGTAGCTGATGTGACTGGGAGCCACCCTATTGCCGAGGGTGAGTGTGAAGCATTCCATTATTGAAAGTATTGTCGGATGGTGCTGCTCTGGGTGAATTGGGCCATCCCCAAGTTAGTATTTAACTTCCCAAGACAATGTCACGTTCTTGCCCCTCATGTTTCTGACAGGTGTGACCAACCATGTGGATGATGAATATCGATGGGCAGGGGTCGAGGATCCCAAGGTCATGATCACTACCTCCCGAGACCCTAGTTCCCGCCTCAAAATGTTTGCAAAGGTAACCAGTAACAGAGAGTGAGTGGAAGATACTCAGGTACCAGTGGCCTGAGTTCTCACCAGAGTGTGTATATCTGCAGGAGCTGAAGCTAGTGTTCCCAGGTGCCCAGCGCATGAACCGTGGCCGACATGAGGTGGGGGCACTGGTGCGAGCCTGCAAAGCCAATGGGGTCACTGACCTGTTGGTTGTCCACGAGCATCGAGGCACACCTGGTAAGGTTGGTAGGGGGCGAGGTGTGCTGGGGTGGCTGTCTGAGAGCAGACATGGTCTCTGATGGCCTGCCTGGCCCTGCCAGTGGGATTCATTGTCAGCCACCTGCCCTTCGGCCCCACTGCTTATTTCACACTGTGTAATGTGGTTATGCGGCATGACGTTCCGGACCTGGGCACCGTGTCAGAAGCCAAACCTCACCTCATCATGCATGGTTTCTCCTCCCGTCTGGGCAAGCGGGTGAGTCTGGGGCCGTAGGCTATGGGATGAGAGCTGGCAGTAGGGGTTGCCAGGCCAGGCATTCTCCACTCTCCTTCCCTCTGCCCCAGGTCTCTGACATACTTCGTTACCTGTTCCCTGTGCCCAAAGATGACAGCCACCGGGTCATCACCTTCGCCAACCAGGATGACTACATTTCCTTCCGGTACGTCTGTGGGCTAGGCTCTGGGATGGTATCCTGACCTTCATATCTCTGTACTGTTTGTTATTGCCTGCAGCTGCTCCCTACCTCCTCTTACTCCTGCCCTGCCTCCCCTTGCCCCAGGCACCATGTGTACAGGAAGACCAACCACCGCAATGTCGAACTAACAGAAGTCGGGCCTCGCTTTGAGCTGAAGTGTGAGTTTGGGGCTATATCTCACGTCTGGTGGTGGGGGGATACCTGCTCTGTAGGTGACAATGTTCCCCACCCCTCCCCACCACCAGTGTACATGATCCGCCAGGGCACGCTGGAACAGGAGGCCACAGCAGATGTGGAGTGGCGCTGGCACCCTTATACCAACACTGCACACAAGAGGGTCTTTCTGAGTGCTGAGTGAACCTATTCTTCAATCAGGATGCAGACTTGGACCCAGGAGGTGGGGGAGATCAGAATAAAGTCTCTGCACCACACTGAGCCATTTGTTTCTGAGTGGTCCAGACAGGCCCGCTGTCGGGGTGAGTGTGAAGAAAGATGTCGGTATGGTCTCCCTAGGTGGTGACCTGACAGCTCAGGGACATTTTCAAGCCTGGTATTGACATTGTGTCTAAGATAAAGCAGGCCTGGCGTGCTGGCTTGCCCCTGAGCCATTAGGAGGGTTTGGTGTTGCCCCAGGGAGAATTGGTGGTACTGTCACTTGGCAGTCTGGGCCCTGTAAGAGCTCATCATCTGGGAAGAGGGTTGGGCACAGGTAGCAGGGTCTGTTATGCTTGCTTCCAACAAGTGTGAGACTCAGGGGACTGACACAGAGGATTGACACACAGCACTAAGTACCTTCTTAGTGCTCAGCAGGATCCTTTTGCCTGCCTAGCACACAGCCACACTTTCTTTTCATTCACTAGGTACACAGTGACACCTTAGGGACTACCCACTGTGCACACTTCCAGCTCTCTTGTTAGGGTGGGAATTATCCGAGGTCACACAGGAGGGCCAGGGTTTCCTAGAAGAGGCTGGGTCTTGCTCTGGCTTCTCCACACATATCTGCTTTGTTCTTCCCTCTCTGCCCACTTCCCTGTTATGTACCTAAGGGCCCCGGTTTTACACAGAATAAATTTCAAGACCCTATAGAATACACAAGTTGACATGAAGGGGTGATGACAATGAGAAAGACATCACACCAGGTGGAGATAAGCCCATGAAGAAACAAGTCAGGTACGAGTTTGGAGAGGAAGAGGCCTCTGTGTGATAGCATGAAGCAGCAGGGTCCACCTGGATAACCCATGCAAAGAACTGAGGTAGGCAGTGCTCATAAGGATTCCAGAAACAGGAGCAGCCCAATAAGAGGGGGGTCTTGAGGGAAAACCATGGCATTTAGAGCAGCAAATAGGACCTCATGGATGTCTGTGACATCTAGTTTCACTCATATGAGTCCAGTTAGTTTCTTCAGGGTCTTCCAGGGCCTCTTCCAGCTTGCCACAGCCTCACTTCACAAATGAAGAATATTCTATTAAAATGTTTTGCAGGTTATGAAAATTACAGAATACAAAAGGAGAGTAGTATGATGTCCTGTGTTGGTTAACAAAATGTCACAAACTGAGTGGCTTAAAACAACAGACATTTATTCACAGTCAGAGGCTGGATGTAGAAGATCAAGGTGTTGGTTCCACTCCTAACTCCTGGTCCATTCCTTGCCTCTTTCGGCTGCTGGTGGCTGCCAATAATCCTTGGTACTCCTTGGCTTGTAACTGCATCACTCTAGTCTCTGCCTGTATCTTCACATGGCCTTCCTCTACTGTATGTCAAGTTTCCTCTATATGTCTCTTACAAGGACACTTGTCATCAGATTTATAGCCTGTCATAAAATCCAGGATGACCTCTTCAGTTCAAGATTCTGAACTTAATCACATATGCAGAGACCTTTTTTCCCCCCAAATAATCTCATACTCATGGGCTCCAGGAGTTAGGCTGTGAGAATATTTTGGGAGCCACCATTTATCCAATTGCATGTACCTGTACTGAAGGTGATCTTCAGTAGTTGTGGGCCTCCTGCCCTTGTACTGTGTTTCCCCTATACCTCATGTAGACATCACAGCCTTGACAAGGCTGCCCGCTGCGGACTCTGAGCATCCTCCCAGGTGAGTGCTGTTTCCCTGACATTTTGCAGGTTCTTAGTCACTGGTGTTTTTTGTTTTTTAATAACGTGAACATAGAATTCTCACTAAGAGCAGGGCTTGGTGCTGGGGGCCAGATGTTAGCCAGGGACAGATGGAAAATAAACAAGATGCAAAACATTTATTAGTCACTTCCTTGTGGTACTTCTTTTTCATTTGAAATACTCATTGATAGCTATGTAGTTATTGCCATTTTTTATTCATATTTTTGATATATATTTTTTTCTTCTTAAAGAAGTACCTCCAACATTTTCTGTAGTACTGACTTCGTGGTGATGAAATCTTTTAGCTTTTTCTTATCTGGGAAGCTCTTTATCTGTCCTTTGACTCTGAATTATAGATTTGCTGGATACAGTAATCTTGGCTGTAGATCTTGGGTTTTAATCACTTTGAATATTTTGTGCCAAGCCCTTCTGTCCTGCAAAGTTTCTTTTGAGAAATCATCTGACAGTCTTATGGAAGCTCCCTTGTGATTAACTAACTGCTTTTCTCTTGCTCCTTTTAAGATTCTGTCTCTGTCATAACTTGACATTTCATCTTTTTTGGGACTCTGAGCTTCCTGGGATTGTATGTCTATTTCCTTCACCAAGTTAAGGAAGTTTTCCATCATTATTTCTTCAGATAGGTTTTCAACTTGATTTCTCTCCTCTCCTTCTGGTACCCCTATGATGTGAATGTTGTTATGCTTGATGTTGTCCCATAGAATCTTTAAATTATCTTCATTTTCTTGCATTCGTTTTTCTTGGTCCTGTTCTGGTTGAGTGTCCTACTCTGGTTGATTTGATCCTCTGCTTCCTCCATTCTGTTGATTCTTTCTAATGTACTCTTCATCTCAGATATTGTATTCTTTATTTCTGACTAGTTTCCTTTTATAATTTCCATCTCCTTTTTAATGTTTTTTTATCTCTTTGTTAAAGTTCTGAGTTCATCTACTCGTCTCCAAAGTTCCTTGAACATCCTTATCAGTGTTTTGAACTCTGCATCTGTTAGATTGCTTGTCTCTACTTTGTTTAGATCTTTTTCTGGAGATCTGTTCTTTTCTTTCATTTGGGACATGCTTCTTTGTCTCCCCATTTTGGCTGCCTTTCTGTGTCTGTTTCTATGTAATAGGTAAAGCTCCTAAATCTGATATTAGTAGTGTGGCTTTGTGTAGTAAGTGTCCTGTAAGTCCCTGTGGCACAATCTTGAGAGGGGGCCAGCTGCCTCGTGGCACAATCTTGAGAGGGGGCCAAGTTTAGCCCCAGCCTGTGACCCTCCAAGAACACCTGGTAAGAGTCACCAAGCAAGCCACTGGTGGTTGCCACCTGTGCTGTGCTTACAATTGCCTCAAGAGGCCATACCAGAAACCGAGGCTGGCTGCCACCATTGAGGGCTTGGAGCTGCTCAGTAAGGGGTACAGGGTACAGCAAGGATACCCCTAGATGCGACTTGGGTAGGGCTGCTAGTTGGGAGGGGTGGAGTTCAGGGAATTCTCTAGGCTAAGTGACCTCTGTTATCCAGTTTGATGACATCTCAGCTATAACAGCATCTGCATCTGCACACTAGGAGTAGGGAAGGCTCAACAAAGGAACACCAGATACCACCAGCACTTCTGCCTGGTAGAAAGCCTCTCCTCCAGTCCTTGCCTCAAGGCCTGACAACTAAGTGTTCCTGTGTGTGTCCCTGGTTACCCACAAGCTGCCACCCCAGAGTTCTGGAGCAGAGCGAGCGAGTCAATCACCATGAAAGTCTGGCCGCAGTCGTGGTCCCTTTAAGAAGAAACTCTGCAGCTACTGTAGCTTCTGTCTTGCTCAGCCATGTAGGACCAGAGCAACCTCATGTTTCTGCCTCCTCCAACTGTTCCAAGGTGATTTCTTATTTCTCTTCCTAGTTGTAGGGCTTCTGTTCATCCAGACCCCAGGTAACTCTGCTTGCTGTTTACTCCATGGTCTCCTCAGTTTTGGTGTGGTCGCAAGAGCTGTACAAAGCCTCTACCCTCAGTGATCCTCAACTTTTTCGGCACCAGAGATGTGTCTATGAGAATCTAATGCCTGATCTGAGGTGGAGCAGAGGCAGTGATGTTAGTGTTGGGGAGCGACTTTAACTACAAAGAAATTCCTCTTACTTGCCCGCTTTTTACCTCTTGCTGTGTGGCCTGGTTCCTAACAGGCCACAGACTGGTACTGAGCCTGGGGTTTGGAGACCCCTGCTCTACACTGTCTTGACAGGTCCTGATTGTTTTATTTTTATTTTTCATTTTTAATTTATTTTTTAATTAAGATTATTGGGGTAACATTGGTTAATACAATTATAGAATTTTCAGATGTACATTATCATGTGATATCTGTATATTCTATGTGTTTACCACCCAAAGTCCAGTTTCCTTCAGCTGTCATATATTTGATCCCCTTTCCCCACTTCGCTCGCCTCCATCCCCCTATATTTGACCCCCTATACCCTATCTACCTCACCCCTCGTCCCCCACCCCACTAGTAACCACTACTCTATAGTCCTCTGATAACCACTAGTCTATAGTCCTTGTCCATGAGTCTCTGTTTGTTTGTCCTGCTCATTTGTTACTTTTAGGTTTATATCCCACATATAAGTGATAGGTGATTTTCAAATTTTCTGTCGGGCTTATTTTGCTTAGCATGATTATCTCGAGGTCCATCTATGTTGTCGCAAATGGCAGTATTTCATCTCTTCTTATGGCTGAATAATATTCCATTGTATATATGTACCACAGCATTTTTAGCCAGTCATCTATTGAAGGACACGTTGGTTGCTTCCATGTTCTGGCCACTGTGAATAGTGCTTCTGTGAACAGCAGTGTGCAAATATCTTTACGGATATGGATTTTCAAATCTTTGGGGTAAATACCCAGTAGAGGGATTGCTGGATCATATGGTAGATCAAATGTTAGTTTTTTGAGGAACCTTCATAGTGGCTGTACCAATTTGCAATCTCACCAGCAGTGTATGAGGGGTCCTCTTTCTCTGCATCCTTTCCAACACTTGTTGTTACATGACATCTTGATTATAGCTATTCTAACAGGTGTAAGATGGTATCTCATTGTGGTTTTGATTTGCATTTCCCTAATAGCTAGCGATATTGAGCATCTTTTCATATATTTGTTGGCCATTCGCATGTGCTTTAGGGAGAAGTGTCTGTTCAGGTCCACTGTCCATTTTTTGATTGGATCACTTGTGTTTTTTTGTTGCTATTTGAGTCATATGGGTTCTTTGTATATTTTGAATATCAGGCCCTGATCGGAGGTGTTGCTTGCAAATATATTTTCCAGTTCCGATGCTTGTCTCTTTACCTTGTTGACAGTTTCTTATGCTGAGCAGAACCTTTTTAGTTCGATGTGGTCCCATTCGTTTATTTTAGCTTTTACTTCCCTTGCTTT